GGGATGAGAGCACAGCTCTCTGCAGCAGCAGTGATCTCTGTGTCACCATGGCGAGCCCTGGCTCTGCCCTGCTCTGTCTGCTGCTTTCTGCCACTCACTGGGATCTCTTGGATCTGTTCAAACTGGGGATGGAAAGGCCACAGAATGTTTTAGTTCACCTCTGCTTTAAATTCTCCTGTGCAAGAAAACTGCCATAGGCAGGACAAAGCATTTGAAGGCAGTCTGGCCAAGTGTCCTCCTGTCTTGGCTGTGCACAGAAACTTCCAGAGCCCTGAATTTCGTGTTTGATAACTCTGGAATATATTTAAACATGTATTACAGTAGCCAGCTCAAGCAGAGTGAAAGGGTTTATAATGTAATTTTTGTTATTTAAAAAAAACCCACAAACCTTTTTATTAAGCACTGTTCATATAAAAGGCAGATTAGGCTTTTTCCCTGGTACAGAATGACCCACGAGCACTATTGCTGTAGCATTTTTCTGCCTAAACTACAGTGGACAGTGAGTAACTGGAAGCCTCTCTGGGCACCTCAGGCAGCCCTGTACCATTCTCTTGGGRTAAATTTGTCTGTCCTGCTAATTGTGATTGAGTTATTGACACAGAGGTCTTTGCTGGCCACCTGCAGAACTGTAGGTTTAGTTTGCTTTGTGCAGTTTATAGTACAAGTTATATACTCCTTTGAGCTTACTAAAATTTGGRGAGTAAGAAAATAAAAATACATGTTTTATTGTAGTTGAAGCAGCTGGTTCATCTCAATTTCTCTAAAGGCAARCTCAGATTTGAAGGGGTAACAAAGGAGGGTAATTCTCCAAACTCAAAGCACGGCGTTGGCAGCTCCTGTATGAGGACAAACCAACAAAAATCCACAGCTCCACCAGGAACAGACTGTGCAAATCTCTAAAAACCTGCCATGAAAAGTGGGGCACACAGCAGTGCAGTGGGTGAAGCTCTGGAGTTACTGCTGGGAGGTGTTTTAATGGAAAGGGTTATAGGAAAGATTTCTCCTGCCATATGCAGATGTAAGAGAACATTTCTTCTTGGCAAAGAAAACGGGGGAGAGAAAAAGAGTAGCAAGGCTATATAAAGCATGCTGGAGAAAATCTGTGGTCTAGACATGGAGTCTGAAAGGTTAGCCAAGTTGTTTAAAAAACAACCGACCAAAAAAAAAAAAAGAGAAACAAATCAAAAAGCACAACTCCCCCCCAAAAAACCAAACCAAACAACTCCAACAAAAAGAACGGGTTCAAAGGAAAAGGCACCTTTGCCTTTGTGAGGTGTTCTGATGAACCACTGCAGCACCCTGAGGTGGGTAGAGAGAACACTGAGCTGAAATGCCAAGACAGAAATGTGGAAGTGGCAGCATTTCCCAGCATTTCCCAGCGTTTCCCAGCATTATTTCCCAGCATTTCCCAGCATTTCCCAGCATTTCCCAGCATTTCCCAGCCTTTCCCAGCGTTTCCCAGCACTATTTCCCAGCACTATTTCCCAGCATTTCCCAGCCTTTCCCAGCGTTTCCCAGCACTATTTCCCAGCACTATTTCCCAGCATTTCCCAGCATTATTTCCCAGCATTTCCCAGCGTTTCCCAGCATTTCCCAGCGTTTCCCAGCATTAATTCTCAGCGTTTCCCAGCATTTCCCAGCATTTCCCAGCGTTTCCCAGCATTTCCCAGTGTTTCCCAGCATTAATTCCCAGCATTTCCCAGCATTATTTCCCAGCACTATTTCCCAGCATTTCCAGCATTTCCCAGCGTTATTTCCCAGCGTTTCCCAGCGTTATTTCCCAGCATTTCCCAGCATTAATTCCCAGCATTTCCCAGCGTTATTTCCCAGCATTATTTCCCAGCATTTCCCAGCGTTTCCCAGCACTATTTCCCAGCATTTCCCAGCATTTCCCACATTTCCCAGCATATTTCCCATCATTTCCCGTGTGCCTGGCAGGGTGCGGTTCCGCCGGGCGCTGCTGGAGCAGCGGCTGCTGCAGAAGAAGGAGCTGGAGCTGCTGCAGGCCCGGCAGGAACAGGAGAAGGAGAAGCGTCTGGAAGCGCTGCGGCAGCAGGTGGGTCCTGTGCAGGGATTGCAATGCTGCAAACACAAACTGCCAGGGTGGGCAGGGAAAAGAACCATCTACCACAGCAAAATAAATCAACACGCTCAAAGGCACTGTTGCTCTGCCTAACAGTAATTCTGCCCTGTCATAAATCCTGTGTGCTTTGTAGCTCTGACAACAGCAACATTCGGACGTTAAATTGTACTGCAGGAGGCTGTTCATATCTAAAAGGAGATAGAGAACGTTTTTTTCTAGGATGGAGGTGATTTTTCTTCCATGATTTTTTTCTGGGTTTTGTTTGTTTTAATAAGCTTAAGTCTACCTTGAGTCTTAGGCAAGATTTRTGAGTATTTTATATTATTTTTAAATTCTGAAAACTTACTCACCTTGGATGACTTTTCRTCAGAGATTTTTCACCCTCTGAAASTTTTGCACATTATTTTWAAAAGGACACCCATAAAATTCTAACTAATGCTTGCTAATGACATAGTAAAAGTAGGGTTATGTTTTCTGTTGCTCACTTTAGAAAGAGTAATTCTACCTTAATTTACATTTCTGTATATAATCTCCTTGTTTTTTCCTCCAAAGTACTGGTTAGGAATCATGATCTGTTGAGCTCGTCCCACTGACTCARTTCTCACTGCCAGAGTAGAAGATGCTCCCAGAAGGGCTTTTGCTTGTGATGGTGACATTCCCACTTCATTCTACTTCTCTGACCAACTTTTATTCTCTGTTTTACACTCATGAAATGTTGCTTCATAAAGTRTGCACATTGTATGGCAGGAAGAAAAAAATCTTTACTAAAGTCACCCAGCCTGTAGATTTGGGTGGTCTGCAGATATACAGATAATATTTTATTAAAGGGATGGATGAAAAAAAGTATCTAATGCAATTTAAAGTATTTTTTTCTGGTTTTAGCCATTCAGATGGGCTTGTGATTTAAKTATTTTGCTCATGCATCTTTCTATATTTTTCCGAAGTGGTACTAGGCCTGTGTCTGAATATTTTAACACAAAGAAAGTAAGCATTAAAAAAAGATTTAACTCTGGCACAATASAGTGTCTGCAAATCTTTGATACTGATCTAGCCACAGGAAATTACACAGTTAAAGCAGATGCACTTCAGAGRAAAACAGAGTTGTGTTATTTGGGGYGTATCACRATGCTGTTGCCCATGACTCTGTAAAAACTGTGAACTATCACCCTGAACACCTTTGTTTGCATTGGAAGAAAAAGGAGAAAGTTTGGACTTCCAGGAATTGTGGTTATTGCAGAATKRTGAGGCTGCTGGATCCWTGTASAGACTGGCTGGACACTGGAGCTCAYGYTGGTGTCTGCTGGAGAGCTCAGGWGCTGCTGCACAGCCAAATAAAGCCAAATAAAGGTGTTCTCACACATCTGCAGTGGGATCCTGCACCACTGTGACACTGCAAAGACAGTGAATTCCTGTGTTCTCAAATCACCTGCTCTCACTCAGCTCCACAGAGTAACTGTTCTTGTCACCTTGTGTGCTTCAGGTTGCCATTGTTGCAAAAGTGGATCCAGCCAGAGCCGTGGCCGACACGGTGGCGTCCAGAGCTCGSATGGGCATCGGAGCCAACGAGGAGTTGGAGCTGCAGCAGCCACTGTTCAAACTGCACACGTACACTGAGGAGCAGGTAATGGTGTGCTGCTGGGTTATTGTGTGCACTTGGTGTCAGCAGGGACATAGAACAGGAACATTCATCACACACCCAAACAGCTGCACTAGCAGTAGAATATAGAATATAGATATAGATATAGATATAGATATAGATATAGATATAGATATAGATTAGATAGATATAGATATAGATATAGATATAGATATAGATATAGATATAGATATAGATGATATTGATATAGATACAGATATAGATATAGATATATAGATATAGATATATAGATATAGATATAGATATAGATATAGATATAGATAATGTGTGTAAGACAAAACTGCTCAGAGTGACACATGGGGCAATCCTCTGACCCAGCACAGGGGATGGAGCAGCTCAAGAGGGGACCCCAAAGGTCCACTCAGGTTCAGTGCAGGACTCCTGGCTCTTCCAAGAGCATCTCCCATTGCACCACTGGAGAGGGAACACTGGGCTAACTGGGCTGTTGGGCAGCTCTGGTGCTTGCCAGGCATTTTCACCACTCTGAAATTTTTGCAATTCAAAACTCACCCATTTTACATTCTTATGCATTTATTTACAAGAGTGCTTYGTTTTCACCTGCCCCAGTCAGTGAAAGTTCTTCCACTGTACAAAAGGGCAGTGGTAACAATCTGTGGGCTGTGCCTTTTTCTTGGAAATTTATGCACGGCACAAATCTCTTCTTAAGCTGAAAATCAGTGTCTTGACCATCTTTACACTGTTGCTGGATGGGAACTCGGTTGGGATGTGATCTGCAGGGGCTAAGAAGAAAATACTGAAGTGTAAATGAATCAGGAACTGAACTAACTATACCCCACTTTCGGGTCACTCAGGCTGCTGAGGATTGTGCTCCCTCAATTTCAAATGCAATCAGGGAACATCTTGAGATCTTTTGATTCCCTCACTGTTCCCCATCTGCTCAATCAATGCATTTGCAATTATTCACACTCTGGAATTTGAAAATCATTTACAAAAAGAGAAGAGGTATGATACAACTCTAYGGTGTAAAAGCATTCTTTTGACACTGAATAAGATGAAATTCAACAATGTCTGTAGCTTAAGCACTTCCCATTTTAAGGCATTTTAAAGCTTCTCAGTTTGGTAATAGAAAGATGTGGGTTTTGTTATTAAAATTCCCCAAATCTGACCAATGCACGAGATTCTGACAAGTCTTAAATGTGCCCTGAGGTTGTATATTTGGGGGCCATAGCTTAATCCTCAGCATGCTCTTTGTGTTTCAGCTGCAGGGGGGTTTGGTGCTGCTCAGGCCGCAGTACATAGATCATGGATCCCCCTGCTCCTCCCCATGCTCAGGGGACCCTGCTCCAGTGCCCATCTCCAGTCTGTGGAGATGCTGAGCACAGCAATTGGAGCCTGTGCTGCACTTTGGGCTCTGTGCATGGAGCACAGCAGCTGCTCAAGGTGCTGCTGTTTGGTTTCTATTGATCAGGCTGTGGTTTATTTTAACAGGTCATTTCTGACCCCAGGCTCCGTGTTGAGCTCGCTCTGCGAGAAGCTGGACTGCATAAAACCCCTTATGCCAGAGAGGTTTTGTCAAAACTTCCCCCACCAAAGCTTCCAAGAAGAGACATGGAATCTACAGCTTTYAATGTGTAGAACACCTCTCATCKGAGGGGCAGAGGAACRTTGGGGGTCTGGTTTGGTGCACAACGTGTGAAYCTTCAATAAATTCCCTTTGGTTGTRTCCTGGAAGGGCTCAGTGCTGTGTGTGCAGCCATTCCAAAGCTCTCCAAGCCTTKCTGAGCTGTGCTGGGTCACATTTACCTTCCTGCTGCAGGTTTGGAGAGGTTGGGCTGTGGGCTGGTGTGGTGGGATTGCCCATGAGCCTTTCAGCTGGAGCTGGGACCCCTGTGCACAAGGACACAGAGCACAGGCCAGTCTGATGTGCAGCACCTTGAGTAGGAATTCTGAGGATTTAATTGGCAGCAGAAGTCCAAAATAGCTTTGCGCAGCAGTTACTTTGGATTTTATTATGTTACATGAATAAATCCCACAATTTTCTTTCCAAGTTTCTTGAGAATTTRATTATTTTCATTATAAAATCTTCAYTGCCSTTAATGTTTCTCATATTCCTTGATTATGATGAGAAAAAAATTAAACTTTGTCTATATTTAGAAGGTAATTTGTTGCATCATCTTT